TTCTTTCTTTCTTTCTTTCTTTCTTTCTTTCTTTCTTTCTTTCTTTCCCCCCTCCCTCCCTCCTCCCTCTTTCCTTCTCTCCCTCCCTTCCTTCCTCCTATCCTCCTTCCTTCTCTCCTTCCCTCCCTTCCTCCTATCCCCTTCCTTCCTCCTTCTTTCCTTCTCTCCCTCCCTCCCTATCCTCCTCCCTCCTTCCTTCTCTCTCTTTCCTCCCTCCTTCCTTCTCTCCCTCCCTCCCTTCCTCCTATCCTCCTCCCTTCCTTCCTCCTTCTTTCCTTCTCTCCCTCCCTCCCTATTCTCCTCCCTCCTTCCTTCTCTCTTTCCTCCCTCCCTCCTTCCCCCTCCTTCTTTCTCTCTCTCTCTCTCTCCCTCCCTCCCTTCCTCCTATCCTCCTCCCTTCCTTCCTCCTTCTTTCCTTCTCTCCCTCCCTCCCTATTTTCCTCCCTCCTTCCTTCTCTCTCTTTCCTCCCTCCTTCCTTCCCCCTCCTTCTTTCTCTCCCTCCCTCCCTCCCTCCCTCCCTTCCTCCTATCCTCTTCCCTTCCTTCCTCCTTTTCCTCCCTCCCTCCCTCTTTCCTTCTCTCCCTCCTTTCCTTCCTCCTTCCTTCTCTCTCCTCCCTCCCTCCTTCCTTCTCTACATCCCTCCCTCCTTCCTATCCTCTTTCCTTCCTTCCTCCCTCCCTCCTTCCTTCTCTCCCTCCCTATCCTCCTTCCTTCTCTCTCCTTCCTCCCTCCTTCCTCCCTCCCTCCTTCCTTCCTTCCTCCCTTCTTCCTTCTCTCCCTCCCTCCTAACCTCCTCCCTCCCTTCCTCCTCCTTTCCTTCTCTCCCTCCCTATCTTCCCCCCCTCCTTCCTTCTCTCCCACTCTCCCTTCTTCCGTCTCTCCCTCTCTCCCTCCCTCCTTTCTTTCATTCCTGTCAATGTCCGTGCGAGTAGCCAGAGGCGAGGAATCCTGGAAACTTGTACGAATTGCGTGAGGGTGGGGGGGAAATGAACGGAAGGTGATCCTTTTCTCCACCCCCCTCCACCCCCATCTTCACCGGCCAGTTTCCTCCAGTAATGTTTATAGTGGAGAGTCCCTAGAAGGTGGGGGGGGGGTGGACGCGATAAGTCGCTTCTTAATTCGGAAGAATCGTGTAGGGGGTTGCGTCTGGAGCATCGGGGTTCTTGTGATTTTGGTTTTCAAGGGAGGAGCGGGGGGGAAAGTTACAAATGTTCTTTACACTTCCCCGAAGATGGGGCCGGCGGTCCTGTTAATATTTCACCTCAGCGCGAATAGCTTGAGAGCTGGCTGGCGTGGGAGGGGGCGACAAGCGCGCGCGAGAGAGAGAGAGCCCGGAGAAGAAAGTGAGGCAGCGCCTCTCAGGACTGGCCATCCTCAAAGGGCAGCCTGTAGCCTTAACTTGGGACGACTGTTGCAGCATTGAAATGACCTGCGTGTGCCGCAGGAACCCGAGCTGTGGTTGAAAACAGAGCCCACATTGTTTCGGGCACCCGGCGTGCATTTGGAAAGAGCGACTCGCACGGAGAGACGCGTGTTTAAAAGCTCGCCCCGGTAGCCAGGGACGGATTTGGTGTGTGCGCGCGTTTTAATTAAAAGATTGCAGGTTATAACGTCTGCAAGAATTGAATAACGTGTGCGCGCTTGGTGGTGGTGGGAAGGGAAAATACTTGTGTGCGTGTGTTTTTTTTTTAAGGTGCCTTGTTTTCAGACTCGAATTGCTTCTGTAAACGGGGGTGGGTAGGTGGGGGAGGGGAGAGACCAGAAGCATTGCCGAGGTTCACCCTGAGAATGCACTTCGAAGGCTTACTTAGGGGCGAAACAGTTATCCGCGCTTGAGTTCATCAGGACTAGCTTAGAGATGGCAAAATATTAGCTCCCAAATGCAGGCTATTTGCTATGTGTCGTGAATGGACAATTGCTATTCTGCAGTGCCTGGTGGGAAAAACAAGGACTTTATGCACATGCATAACTGCAGCTCCTCCATTTCCTTTGCTGTATCTTCACTGGTGGCTGCAGGAACAAATAAGCGGCTGTCACTTAATGCTGTGCTTAATGACACATTTCACATGTTGTGCTGGGGAAATCACCTTCTTTCTGCCTCTGACGACCAGCCCACAAACCATTGTAATTAGTGGAATTGTTGGCTAAAACTTATCATCTCCTGTCTCCCAATATTCCTTTTCTTTTCTTTTTGCCACACTGGAAAACGATTTTCAACCCTGAACATGTTAGCCAGGTACAGAAAATCAAAACAGTTTTTCAGGCATAGTGCACAGCTGTGGCTATAACATATAAAAAGGTACATGTTCACCTTGGATAATTGCTTTTGTGCAGGTCTAAAACAATATAGAAAAACTAATGGGAGAAGGAAAGAAGAATCCCAACTTTCTGAACTTTTGGAAGAAGTCTAGTGTCTGCGGTCCCAGCTTGCTAGAGTATTGTCTTTCTCCCTGCAGGATAAATATCCCTTATGCAAGTCTAATGGATGCATGTGACTAGATCTGAACTTAGAAGACTGTCAGTCAGATGAGAATTCTCCCTTATCATTCAGCTCTCGGGATCACCTGAAGCCTTGGGCAACGAAACATATTTCTATTAGTCTTTTAAAAAAACATTTATTTATTTTTAATATAAGCATTCCATCTTCCATTAAACAGTGTGTCGTCTGGTTACACATATCTCTGTGCAATAACCATCAAATTTACAACGGTATACATGACTTTGATATAGACTTTCTAACCTTACAATCGTAATATTATATATAATAAAACTTTCCATTTCTCCCTCTTAACATGTCTTCTAACAAGTCTTGTTGAAATTAATGGAATTTAAATTCCTCACAACTAGGGAGAAATTTCTGGAGAAACAGAGGCGGTGGCATGGCTTCCTCTGATCTAATGTAACATCCAGTGGGATTTAGCTCATGACAGAATATCATCCCACTGTCTGTTTCTTGGTCCTCTCCCAGGGAAGCCAATGTCTTCAGAGAGAAGCAAAGAAATATCTTGGGTGAAGGACACATCACGTTGCAGAGGAAACAGAAAGACTTCAAAATATAACATGTAAAGGTTTCCATGTAACATGTAGTTCTTGTAACAAGTAGTTTTAATTTTCCCCAGGTTATTTGCTTTCCTTTCATTCATTTAAGGAGGTCCTCATTTACTCCAATCAGAGGTGGGTATTCAGCAGGTTCTGACCAGTTCTGGAAAACCGGTAGTGGAAATTTTGAGTAGTTTAGAGAACTGGCAAATACCACTTCTGACTGGCCCGCCCCCATCTATTCTCTGCTTCCCGAGTCCCAGCTGATTGTCTTCTTTTGTTGCCCTGCACAGGAGAACGGAGCTGGAAAGCAGGTTAGTGAGTTGGGGAGGGAATGGGATTTTGCAGTAACCTTTCCCTGCTACGCCCACCAAACCATGCCCACCAAGCCACACCACACCCACCAAGCCACACCCACAGAACCGGTAGTAAAAAAAATTGATCCCACCACTGACTCCAATGCATGGAAGGTTCTCATTTATTTTATTTATTTATTTTTATTTATTTATTTATTTGATTTGTCAATTGCTTACAAGATAATAGGTATAAGTTTATACATAGTTATGAATACATGAAATGGGTACATATAAGAAAAATAAAAGAAACAATAGGACAGGGACGGTAGGCACGTGGGTGCGCTTATGCACGCCCCCTACAGACCGCTTAGGAAAGGGGTGAGGTCAATAGTAGATAGTCTAAGGTTAAAGTTTTTGGGGTTTGGGGAAGAAACTACAGAGTCAGGTAGAGTATTCCAGACATTGACCACTCTGTTGCTGAAGTCGTATTTCCTGCAATCAAGTTTGGTGCGGTTAACCATGAGTTTGTATCTATTGTGTGCTCTTGTGTTGTTATGGTTGAAGCTGAAGTATTCATTGACAGGTAGGACATTGCAATGTATGATTTTATATACTATACTTAGATCAGACCGAAGACGGCGTAATTCAACGTTTTCTAGGTCTAGAATTTCAAGTCTGGTGGCATAAGGTATTCTACAACGAGTAGAGGAGTGGAGAACTCTTCTTGTGAAATATTTCTGGACTTTCTCAACTGTGCTAACATCAGATATGTAATGTGGGTTCCAGACTGATGAGCTGTATTCAATAATTGGTCTAGCAAATGTTTTGTATGCTATAGTTAGTAGTGTAATATTACCAGAGAAAAAGGTACGTAGGATTAGGTTAACAACTCTTAATGCCTTTTTGGCTTATGTAGTTACAGTGGGCTCTAGCACTTAGATCATTAGAGATCATTAGAGATGAGTACTCCAAGGTCCTTGGCAGAGTTTGGATCATCAACAAGGTCTTGACTATTCAGCTTGTATTTTATTTTCTGGTTTTTTTTGCCAATATGTAAGACAGAGCATTTATTTGTTGAGATTTGAAGTTGCCATTTGACCATTCTGACACATAGTCAAGATCTTTTTGAAGGGTAGCAGTATTGTCTGTGGTATTGAACAGCTTTACATCATCAGCGAAGAGAATGCAGTTGCTCTTAATATGATCACAGAGGTCATTTATGTAGAGTATGAAAAGAGTTGGTCCTAGAACACTGCCTTGGGGGACACCACTATTGACAGGTACAGAATTTGATAGGACACTCCCAATTTTGACCATTTGTTGTCTGTTTGACAGGAATGCTTCTATCCATTTATGAAAGTGACCAGAGATACCATAAGATTTTAGTTTTAGGAGTAGTTTGT